CAGCTATCTAGGCACGGGCCTGCAACCTCTGCCATAGGCTCATGTGGGTTGGGAGTGTCCTGTTCGCGCGCGCTCACTTCTCCACATGGCCTGGAGGTAGGGGCAGTTGCGACCCCTACTGGCGGCTGCCTTTTAACTGCTGAGCAGCCCAACGGGCCTGTCTATACTTTGGACAAAATTTAATTACGTGCGCCGGGTCACCACAGAATACGCACTGACCCAGGTTCACGCGTTCCTGCCATAAGCGCTGGTCCAAGCCCAAGTCTTCCCAGGGCCTGCCCTGCGACAAGCCTGGGTGCCATCCTCCTTGAGGTGCCCTTCCACCTCCTCGTTGCGGGGACCGGTTACCCAGGCGATTTAACGGGGAACCTTGACCCCTACCTCCCGCTTGGCGGTTTCCCTGTCCGCCAACCCCCTGTGCGCCCGGTCCTCGGCCTCCCATGACCTGGCCCCTTTGGCCCTGGCCTCCTCCTCTACCTTGCGGCSTCCCYCCGGCCGCGACARCAGCGKAAGACCTCCCCTGCCCTACACWAYTGTAYTCCTCCCCTAGGCCCCACTCAATCTGATCATATGGGACCTCTTCTGTACCACCCTCCTCTAATGTCAGGATCAAGTGATCCTTGGCCTTGACTTGGCCCGAGATGATACGATCTTTCCACTTTTTCCCCTTCTCCAGGTCCTTATGCCAGAAAGTGGTAACTGACATAGACTTCGACTCATACAGGACGACTTCTCTACTCAATGCATCGTAAGTCATGCCGGCCTGCTGAGATTTGTCAAAGAAATGCCCGCGTAGGGCCTCTGGAATGGCACGATAAAACAACTGGACCAGTTGGGGCTCAGTGACCCCATGGTCCGGGATGGCTACCAAGTCGTCCATAGTACCCTTAAGTGCCTTCGCACTCCTTCACTACCGGGAGTGGATCGTTTGGAGCTTATCAGAGGCTCTAACGCCTCGCGTTGGGTCAGCGAACCGCTCCTTAAGGAGCTTGAGGAATTGGGAAAGAGGAGTGACTTTGGAAAACGCAACTAGGTTGTTTTCACAACCGGCTGTACGCGCAAGAGACCTGGCAAAGCTAGCCGCTTCATCTTTCAGGGCCTGGAAGGCCACGAGGACTTGCTCCTCTATCAGGATATGCTGTAAATAAATGTAACTATTGACACTGGCCTCCCAGTTATCAAAGTTCTCGTCCTTCTTTCCCCCGTACGCATCTGGGAACTTAAGTTTCACTGGGTCCTTACGGGGTCTAGCCTCTCCTTCTACAGTGGCTGCAACTTTGGCACCCTGAATAGCGCCCTCACAAAACTTCCCTACATTGTCCCTCAACTGTTTGACTTCGCCCCCTATGTGGGTGACGATTTTGCGCGCAAAATCCCTGAACCCGGACCGCATGGCACTCAACGCTACATCCTGACTCCAGCTTGCCTGGCGCTCCTCCATCCAGGCCTTGCTCAACACCTCTARATAGCCCAGTACTTTGTCCCACTTGGCCTTATCATCTGGTTGGGCCAACACCTCCGCTCTACACTCCTGCACCTTTGCCACTGCTGCGGTCATCTTATTCACTTCCTCTCTCCTCCTCTTCTTCTCCCTCTTCATTCTCAGCTTTCATGCTAACTTTTGCTCGTCTTCCCTCTCTCTTCGTTCCATCGGGTCTGTCATGGCTGCTAGCTCAGCGGCCACCGCAGCCTTCTCATCCTTAGTCACATATGACTCCGCCTCCTCGTCTTCCCCCAACGATAAATTAGCGACCCACTCGCTGATCTTCTTCTCCAGCTCAGTATCTGTCTCCCACTTCATCGTGCCACCACTACTCCCTTCTCCACTCTCAATTCTTATTCTCTCTTTCTCTTCTTCTGCTGTCACTTCTGCTTCAGCAGCCTTCCTTCTTTCTTCCTCCTCCTGTTGTACCCTCTTCATCTCCTCCTCCAACCTCTTCATCTTCTGCGATAGCCTTTAGCTTCGCCTGCTTCTCGCGCTCTTTTCTCTCCTTGTTCTCTCTGACTAAGGCGGCCATCTTTTCTTCCTGCTCCTGGCTAGAGGGGTTAGTCTCTAGCCCAGTACGGGTCTCCACCATGGCGATAGGTGCACAATCAGGGTGATTCCACTCCTCACCACGTGGACTCTAACCCCTGACTGACAAACCTGTAGACTCAATCTAAGAACCCACAGAATCCTGACAAGGACCCTGTCAACTATGGTCTCTAGCCTAGACCCATGCTATGGCTGTCACTACTGAACCAGTGGCTGATCAGGAGGCATTTAAGGAGATCCCCCTTAACTCCTCAAGAATTCTTTAATGTCGCAGACAGGACGACGTGATCAGCTTGGTTCTGCCTGTGCTTTCAGCCCACAACTCAGCCTTTCCAGCCTACTGTGCCACACCGAGCTGCCCGCCGGTCTGTACCGGTCCTTGGGARGGTTCGTATCCCCCGGGACAATCGAGTCATCAGGCACAGATCATCAACCTTACTTGGTCTGGTAGGGGAGTGGTTCCAACAGGCCCTCAACACTTAAAGGCGGCCTCCGTTTCAGCCTCCAACTCAGAGTTCGGACCCTCTACACTGATACTGAGCAGACCTGCCGGACAGTATCGGTCATTGGGCTAGACGAGTTGTTTAACGAGCGCTCGCCGCTCATGCCCAGGTCTCAAGATACCAGAGTAGAGATTAGTCCTACTAAGTCCCGTGCAGGTTTGGCAGCAAGGCCCTATCCTTCATCCACAAAGTTCTATGACCTAGGACAGAAGAGACTCAATGCAGAAAGAATAGACAGACAGACTGTACTCAGCAAGTACCAAGGGGTATGTGCACATCCATAGG